GAAAATTACAGAAATCCATATTAAATGGAAATTATGAACAGAAAAAAGTGTCAATTGCTTACCCTGTATGTAGCGACGTATGAGGTGAGTATTGCAAAGGAGCGTAGTTTGAAAGTCTTCAATTTGACGTAGAGTTTCGCCATGAATCCGTTCACATTTGTTGGCACATTGCTCATCAGCATTTTTATGACGTCCAATCCCAGTCCGGTGAGCATAAAATTTCGAATACCTTGTAGCGCATATTGCTGGCATGTTTTGTCTTTGTGGTTGCATGAACTTTTGCACATTGTATTGTCGTCATTATCTTCCGTTTGTTCCACTGTTGTGGCATTGTAGGCTATGGGTTCCATCAACCAAAAGCCTTTGTACGTTTTTCTTCGTTTGGCATTCAATATCAAGGCACTACAACACATAAATATGAATGTGCGTATCAATGAGGATTTGACGATTAATTTCGTGAGTGCAGTATTCTCTAACATAATCAAGGTTTCGAGTGTCTGGCGAGATGGTGAGATCCAGCGAGTTAGGCGAGAAGGAATGAAATTTCAAAAAATAACAAAATTGCATTAGAATTTGAGAAATATTAGTAATTTCTTGTTAAACTCATTTATGTTTAAAACCATCATTTCCATGCGAACAAATAGATGCATAGGTAGAATGTATGGATGTAGTTTTATACCTTGTTCACCTTGAACACCTAAAAATCGAAATTGAATTTTTGATTGTGTGTAGCATAAAATTTTCAGCAGTCGCTCTCAGATGTAACCAATATATAACAATTTTATAACTAAAACCCTTAATTTTGTTTCAATATGGGTGGTCTATATTACATCGTTTTTCCTTCGCCTGCAAACTTATGAAAAGTGATGTTACGTTATTTTGCATTTTAGGTGAAGATAAATGTACATATGTATAAGGGGAGTCCTCCGCCTAACGGTTTTGTATTGTTTTCTTATTATCAGAAAAAAAAATTGCATCTCGCTTCCAACTACTAGTACAAATATTTCTTTTTGTGTATTTTGTAGAAAATTGAACGCTCTTTAAACAAGGTCAACGGCTATTTCTCAGTAAGCTTTGGAGAAATATGGCTATCCTTGGTCAAAGATCGAAAGTCCTGAGCTGCTTGAGCCATATGCAAAAGAATCGTTTCTGGCCACTCCCACGTGAATGGCGATCAGAAAACTTTCCTCACTTGCGTGAACTTCTACACATAACTCCATCCTCCCACTCATATTCCACTGGCCCACAAACTACACCAAACCGTTATTCTGTGTCTTCGTCCCAAATGCGGAAATTTTGCTTGTTTACATACCCATTGATCCAAAAATGGGCCTCATCGCTAAACAAAATTAAGACTCGATGCGATGTAGCTTGGGAAGGTCGAGTGGCTTCAGTTCTTTCACAAGATGTATTTTGGATGCTTTCAATTCAAGATCTCGACGTAAAATGCGCCAAATTGTTCCATATGTCAATCCGAGTTGCAGCGAACGGCGCTGAGTCGAATCTCCACGGCCTCCACAATCAGCTACGGCTACTAAAATTTGCTTTGCCGGAGTCGTTATTATCTGAGGTAACCTCATTCTGGGTCATAATATGCTAACAGGATATATGGTTTGCCAAGAAATGGAGTAACATCATTATCAGCCCTTGTTCTAATAATGTGAGCCTATGTTACCTTGGAAAGCTAATGTGCTTGTGCGTTTTCTTCAGTATATGCCATTAATTTTAAGCGTAAAAACAAAGTACAGGGTTTGCCCAGGAAGTAATAAGACTGAGTGGGTTTAAAAAAAAAAATATAGATTATAGAAAGATAGAAACTTTAAAAAATAGGCTGCGTCTGCGCCGATGTAGCACTGCCAGCGCGATTTCCAAGCATTAAAGGCGTCACGAAAAGTAATCTCTGGAATAGCCTTGAGAGCCGAGGTGCATGCTGCTTGGAACCCCTCTGTCGTCTCAAAATGCTCAAATCGGCATTTTCAAGCAAGGAAACAAAAAAAGGCCGGGGGCTACATCTGGGCTGTAGGGCGGCTGCGGAAGCTTTGGGCCTTGGTTAGGTGGCTGTTAACAAGAAAGGCCGTGTGAGCCCGGCGTTGTCGTGGTGCAACTTCCAATCGGTAGCAATGTCTTGTCTTGAGGACTTTCATGTAAAACTTGGTGATGACAGTTTGTCCAGGAGGAACAAATTCATGGCGATGCCTTTGAAGTCAAAAAAGACAATGAGCATCGTTTTCACTTTGGATTTGCTCATTCTTCCGGTCTTTATCAGCGGCCCTCCATAAATAATAAACTATTCAATACAGTGAAATTTTCATGCACGAATAAAGTCGAACTGTCTGTTCGTCTGTCTGTATATATACGAACTAGTCCCTCAGTTTTTAAAATATTGTTTTGTAACTATGCAAACGTCATTTTCCCTTCAAAAAACTCGGAACTGCCGATATCGGACCACTATAACATAAAGCTACCATACAAACTGAACGATCGGAATCAAGTTCTTGTATTGAAATCTTTCGCATCTGACGTGGTATCTTCACAAAACTTGGCACAGGTTATTTTCTAAGGCAACAATGTAATCTCCGAAGAAATTGTTCAGATCGGCTCACTATAGCATATAGTTGCCACACAAACCGAATGATCGAAATGAAGTTCTTGTATGAAAAACTGTCACATTCGACGTGGTATCTTCATGGAATTTGACATGGATTACTGCTTAAGTTAATAATATAATCACCGAAAAAATTGTTCAGATCGAATTATTATACCATATAGCTATATAGCTTCCATACAAACTGATCACATAGCTACTAAAAGAAATGCACCTGTGAAGGGTATATTAGCTTCGGTACAGCCGAAGTTAACGTTTTTTCTTGTTATGAATATGTTCATACAAATAAATGTCAATGGAAAAAGTAACGAATTTAAGGATTTTTTTCTCAGTTAGGTTAACAGCATATGTCAGTTCTTGGTAAAATAAAGTTTTTTACTAGAAGTTAACTGAAAAATGGATGCCAACCAAATATTGAGAAAATGGTCCTGAAGATTTGGCATTTTACTGAAAATTATAATTACAGTTGAACTTTCCTAACTCGAATCACCATAATCAACAAAAAACTTCCGAGTTATGACAGGAAATTTGCATGCAATTTGACTTCTATGTATTGCTAATTCAGAGTTATAGAAGTTTGAGTTATGGAAGTTCAACCGTATTATACCTTTTGGGAATTGTGAATACATGCGTATGTTTAGAAATATATAAAGTAAAAACTCTTCATAAACAAGCACTGACGAACCAGCCTTTCTGTCCAGTTATTAGAGTTGTCCGCTTAATAGAGCGCCCATCTTTCACTGTATTTATTATTTTTCAATTGTTTTGACTATCCTATCCTATAATTTTGTTAAAATCGGTTCAGTAGTTTAGTTGTCCATCGCCGACAAACAACGTGACAAGTAATTTTTATATATAAAGATGTGGTATACCCAAATATTTATCTCGATTAGTGTTATACGATAAATAAAACCGTTATGTAAATAAAACTATTATACTCTCTAGCAACATTTTGCGAGAGTATAAAACATTTCATCAATTTATTATCAGGGTATTATTTTAATTATTTTAGTGAAATTTGTACTTCCTCCTTTGTGGTCATTTATCAAATATAATATATTCCAGGCTGACTAATTTTTTTCTGTCATTATTTTCTACAAGCTCTTATACGAGTATAACTTCAAAATGCCTTTCATATACTTTATTGTAAAGGCAAAAAACCTTTCAAAGCAAACAAACGCATTGTCTAATATACATATATACACCGGTATAGGTAATATACTTGTACATATAGTATACTCGTATGCCTATATTTCACATACTTATTTTCTATATATCTTCTATCTCAGCCTTTGGATATTTGCAACTTGCGTTTTTCACATTAGAAATTGACTAAGTATTTAATTAATGCCGATTTAAAGAATTCACTGTTTAAAATAATAATTATACTTACACATTGAAATATGGTGGTCGAGAACAGGCTCTGAACTCGTGGACTTGGAACCATGAATGTACAAAAGCTGCCGATGAAAGTCGGCAGCAATGCAAAGGTTAAATAAGTGAATTTTCCTAATAAATGTCTATAAGGGGAATTTAAATTATTTTAATAGCATCGTTCTAGATTTTCATTTAGGTTTTTTGAAACGAACCGCAAACTACAAATAATGATTTGGATCGACCAACCGACGGCCGTGGCGCCCAACACTGCCTGCGCATAATACATGAGCGTCGACTGCAGCACCTTCTTGTTGAGTGACCGTATGCGCATGAGTAAGGGTAACTAAATAAAAAAAAAAAAATGTTCAACTTTATTGAACTGACGGACCAGCACATACACTTTCAAAATTTGCACTTACACCCATCACAGGCAAGAAATATTTCATATTCGAGAACATAAATTTATATGTGTTGTGTAATGCATTCCATTTACAAGAGTGATCATGAAAAACACCGCAACATTTAACATCGTTATCAATTAAATATTTAATGAATTTACTCATAGCCACCATTTTGCAATTTTGAAATTTTGTTGACTTCACTAAATTGTATTGTTTTTGTTTGTTTTTCTTTATACTATCGGTAAAATCGAACTTGCGCGCACCAGCGTTTATTTAAAACTAATTCGAAGTTAAAGTTGTGACCGTCAATTTAATGAATTTCTTTATGTTTCGCCTTCCCTTATTTTCAAACCTTGCACACTCACATTTATTTTTCTTCTTGTATAGTATATTTGTAAACGTCGATTGAACTTGTAGCAGTACGTCATTATAATTCCACGAGGAAATAAAAAGTTTAAATATAATTCTAATTCTAATTCGAATCTAAATATGCACTATTTATAAGCTGCTTAAGCGGCAAGTAAACTCAGCGTATAAGAAGCAAAGGAAACAAGAAAACAAACTCCGGTTATAACATACTTACATAATCCCTAAATTCAGTAAAAAATCTATACATATACATATATATATATGTATGTACATATATTTATAATTGGCTGTTTTAGAAAATGTACGAATAAATAATTCAAATTGAAAGTGAAAGTGAAAATGAAAGTATATGAGAAATTTAGTGAGAGACTATTTCTAAATGATTGCTAAATTAGTCGACTTCCTCGACAGTTGGCCCGCCAGCACGTCCACCTTGTGCTCCCTTAGCCGCACCTGCATCACCACTACCAGCGCCGCCATGCATTTTCGCCATTACAGGGCCACAAACTCGTTGACACTCCTTCAGGTGATCGTCGAACTCGTCCTTTTCAGCGAGCGTATTGGCATCCAGCCAGGACATCTCCGAAGTGCATTTATCGCGTACCGTGGACTTATCGGCGTCTGTCAGACGTCCAGCGGGTGCATCTTCAATGGCCTGAAAAGAGTATAAATCGATTTTAAATCGAGTGGTTTATTGGGTCAGAGTTACAAGGGAAGGTGAGTTTTCTGTAAGGTGCCCTCCATTAATCTTAGCTTAAGGCTACCGAACCACCGTAGTGTCTTTCAAGCAGACGTATGACGACTTGCGTCCTAGCACTGGACCAATAGGCCTCGCACGCTCTTAGCAAGCGCTGATTGACGAGCTACTCCTGAGCTAGAGTAGATTACAGAAAGTCTTTTGTACTACTTGCCCTTGGCAAAGTTCAGCTTGACGTAATAGTAGGTGCTCTTACAGGATATTCGCCAACAGGCATACACAAAGGTTTAAAATCTTGATGGACGCAAGTTATCAAAATTGTTTTTGCTCCTTTGTCCAGTCTTTGGATTTAACATCTTGTCGATCCTAACCTTTGGCGAACCAGAAGACATATTCGGAACTAACATTACCCGTCTCAACAAATTTGTGATAGGTTCAAAGCACTTTGTCGATTTGTAAGGGTCATAACAGAGTTCTAAACTATCCAAATGAGGTCGCTTTTCGACTCCTTAACGTAACCAAATCTTATGGGTAAATAATACATAAAGCTATTAAAAAAGAAGATATTAAAAAGGAGAAAACGTTAAATTTGCTTGAATCGAGGGATTTGATATTGATCAGTCACTGGATAGGCTAGTTTACTTCTATACAGACTGATAGACAGACGGTCATGACTATATCGACTCAGCTTGCACGCTGATCATTTATATATATAAAATAATAAAGAATAATCATGAAACATTCAGCGCCTTCAGGGCTTTTTCTTAACTATGACCTCATGATTCAGATATTTCCATAAAATTACTTAGGTGATGACGGATGAAAATTAACCCATTGATGGCTTTTTACCATTCAATATAGGTTAGAGTACGAGTTATCGCATTCAAATGAAATATTAATTACTTTTCTAAGAATGCTTTTAGGTTAATATTTCACCTACCTGTTTGCAGCTGAAGATGTAGCTCTCTAAAGCATTCCTAGACTGAATTCGCTGCTTCTGTTTCTCATCCTCATCCTTATACTGTTCAGCATCCGATAGCATACGATCGATTTCCGCCTTGGACAGACGTCCTTTATCATTAGTAATGGTAATCTTCTCCGATTTACCGGTGCTGTTGTCCTTAGCGGAAACGTGTAATATGCCATCGGCGTTAAGGTCAAAGGTGACCTCAATTTTGGGCACACCACGTGGTGCTGGCGGTATGCCAGTCAAATTGAATGTACCTAAAAGATTGTTGTCCTTAGTCATGGCGCGCTCACCTTCGTACACCTGTATTGTGACCGCATTCTGGTTATCGCTGTATGTAGTAAAGGTTTGTTGTTGTTTGCATGGAATGCGAGCATTGCGTTCAATTAGTTTGGTCATGACACCACCGGCAGTCTCGATACCCAATGAGAGCGGCGTAACATCAACCAGCAATACATCCTGAATTTGGGAACTACCCACACCAGTAAGAATGGCAGCTTGTACGGCGGCGCCGTATGCCACAGCCTCGTCGGGATTGATGGACAAGTTCAGCTGTTTGCCGCCAAAGAAGTCTTGGAGCATCTTTTGTATTTTCGGAATGCGTGTAGAACCGCCCACCAACACTACATCATGAATGGCGGCCTTATCCATTTTAGCGTCGTTTAGCGCACGCTCAACTGGCTGCAGTGTCGAACGGAACAAGTCCATGTTCAACTCTTCGAAACGTGCGCGACTGATTTTCGAATAGAAGTCAATACCCTCATGCAAAGCATCGATTTCGATGGAAGCCTCTGTGCTGCTGGAGAGGGTGCGCTTGGCGCGCTCACAAGCGGTACGCAGACGTCGCAAAGCGCGCACATTGGAGGACAAATCACGTTTGTGCTTGCGTTTGAATTCTTCAACGAAGTGATTGACAAGTCGATTATCGAAATCTTCACCGCCTAAATGCGTATCACCGGCTGTAGATTTGACCTCAAAGAGCGAGCCCTCATCGATGGATAATATGGAGACATCGAAGGTACCACCCCCCAAATCAAAGATGAGCACATTCTTTTCACCTTTCAAATTCTTATCTAAACCGTAAGCTAAAGCAGCGGCTGTGGGCTCATTAATGATGCGCAGCACGTTCAGACCAGCAATCGAACCGGCATCTTTGGTGGCCTGACGTTGACTATCATTAAAGTAGGCAGGCACCGTAATAACGGCATCGGTAACATTGCCACCCAGATAGACCTCGGCGATTTCACGCATCTTAGTTAAAACCATCGAGCTTATTTCTTCGGGCGCGAAACGTTTTACTTCGCCTTTGAACTCGATTTCGATTTTGGGTTTGCCACAGTCGTTGACCACTTTGAAAGGCCAATGCTTCATGTCCTCTTGTATTTTTGTATCATCGAAGCGACGACCTATAAGACGCTTGGCATCAAATACTGTGTTTTTGGCGTTCATGGCGACCTAAATCGGGAAATAAGTAAGTAAGAAGAAAGAAATATTAGTTGTTTATAGTAATAATATATATTTAAGGTATGCTAAACGATCTACAAAGCTGGTTTAAACAAGAATTTGTACTCGGAATAAAATTAAACAAATAACTGTTTTATTAAGGGTACTCATTGAATGAATAGGAATGGATGGAAAACTTCTCCAGTATGCTGAATGACACTGAAAGCATAATACCTGGAGGTGGTGGTGGAGGTGGACGATGCGGATGAAGTAGATGTCCCATTGCCTGACCATGGAGAAGTTCGTATAGCAATTACCCGTCTGACGAACAACAAAGCGGTGGGAGCTATTCAAATAAAGCGGTGAAGAACTGATAAGGTGCGTGCATCAGCTTCTTTGTAGAGCATGGTACGAGGAAAGCATGCCCGACGATTGGAATTTAAATGTACTCTGCCTAATCTACATAAAGAAACTGCGTCAACTACCGTGACATAAGCCTTCTAAACATCGCATATAAGGTTTTATCGGGCGTACTAAGTGATAGATTGAAGCCCAAAATCGACAAACTGATTGTACCCTATCGGTGTGGCTTCAAGCCTAGCAAATCTACAACGGTTCAGATATTCACCATCCGTCAAATCTTTGAAAAAAAAAAACCACCTCTTCGTCGATTTCAAAGTTTCTTTTGACATCACGAAAAGGAGTTGCCTTTATGTCGCTTTGTCTGAATTTGGTATCCCCGCAAAACCTGTGCAAACTGTCTGTAAGCAATACCAAAAGGTCTGTCAGGATCGGAGAGGTTCTCTCCGAGCAGTTCGATATCAAATGAGGTTTCAGTCAAGGCTATCTTGTGACATCTTCTGTCTACTGCTGGAGGAAATAATTCGAGCTGCTATAGAGAAAGTACAATCTTCTTCAAGAGTGTAGAACTGCTGGCGTACATCGATAACATCGATATTATTGGGCATAACAACCGCGCCGTTAGTTCTAATTTATCCAGAATTGATAAGGCAGCGAAGCAAATGGGTTTGATAGTGAACGAGGGCAAGACCAAATATCTCCTGTCATCAAACAAACAGTCGTCGTCCTCCTGACATGGTTCTTACACGATGGGACGATGAGCTGTACGGGATATAGGGCGACGTCCCATTGGATGAAAACACTTCAGCTCTGAAAGTATTCGACGTAATACCCGGGGTAGGTGAAAGACTAGGTGGGAAAAGACCTGACTACATTTGACGCCAAACAGCGAAAAGGAATAACCACTGGCGCTTTGCTGGAAACTGGGCTATAACCACGTAAGCGTGTTTACGCTAATAAAGAAGAAGAAGACTAATAAAAAGAATGAATAAAATTGATTTAAAATTATTGCTATTAACAAAAGGCCACCTCTGAAAGGTGGCCGTTAAATTCTGTATAGATCATATGATCGCCAAATGCGAGAACCCACTGGACGCCTTAGAAAGGCAATTACAGAAAGATTTCGGATAACCTTAAAATGAGATTGATCTAGAGTGAACCCTCGAGAGGATTCTCGATAACATGGTAATAGGTTGAAGATATAGGTCATGAATATTTGGATATATGCGCTAGTTGACTTTGCCGAATATCATTACAAATTTTTATGGGGAAAAATTGACCGAAACTTTGATCGAAAAACTGGGAAGTATGTATCTCCTTCACATGATTCGACGTTCTCCGCCCATGTGTTAAATAGAAAACTCTCAAAAATCAAGTTTAAAATATTTGTTATACACCCATTTGTTATCCAATCTATCTTAAATATTTAATTCAACTGTTTGCATTTTCTTTCTAGCAATACAAAAAAAAAATGTATGTATATTATTTAATTTCCTTTCCATTGCTAAAAATAGCCAACAATCATAAGCAATTTTAGAAAATAAATATACATACATTGATTCATTGCAATGAATGCTATTTTTGAAACAAAACAATTTGGATGGAAACACACGTCCTCTACACTGAGCCACTAAACCAGAATGTTCCACGCGATGTGACTTATTAAAATTTATGTATGTACAAACATAAGTGTTTGTATATATAGCATACATACATATATACATATGTATGTATATACATATGTATGTATATAACTTAATGATGCCAAAAGATGCGAACACCCACACGAACGCCCAAAATTCACACCATTCCCACAACATCGCTCTGCCTTGGTCAACATGGTAATTGGGGTACAAAAAGGAAAAGTATATATATATGTATTTATGTACATATTTACATACTTACATAACCATATATGCCGTACATATATTTAAACATTGTGTATTACGTATTTTCAAAATGCATGACGAATGCTTTCATATTTATGGCCGTTGAACAGGTGTCGACGACTCACGTCATGTATCGAAATGGTAGTAAATGTCGGAGAGTAGTGGACCAGCCAGATCCATATAAAGGCATTCCGAGCGACTGGGTGCTTGTCGCCGCCGATCATTACGGGTATTTGGCTATTGTAAAAATAATGAGTGACGGCACCTAATCCGACATAAATGTATGTGCGAGCCGGTATGTGCAAACTTACTACACCTTTTCACCTACATACAAATGTGGTAAATATGCTGTCTGACATGGCGGTTCATCGAATTTGGCTTAGAGCGCCTCTGGGCGATGACAAGTGTGTGAGCCATAATTTGAAGAATTCCAATGAGAATACAAGCAATCGTCAGCGGGTGCACGCTGCAATTCCCAGCACTATGTTTTGCCCGTAAAGTGTAGGGTCAAGAAAAACGTCGTTGCACAAATTGCAGTTTTGGTTGTGCTTTGATGAAATGTCAACTGAAAAATTTATAGTGACAGCTTGTCAAAGCGCGATATTATTCTAACGCTTTATTTGTGTATTTTGTTTTTACTTTTGTTTTGGTGTTTTTGTTTTTTGGCAGTTTGCATTCGTACTTATTAATGAAATCATAAATTACACATTTGGTGTGAAAACCAATAAAATTTTACAAATTAACAATTAACATACGATTTTGGTTGGCAAAGTGCAACAAAGACAAGCACCAAATGTATTCTTCGTGGATTTTGACGCATTTATGTTTGCGTGTAGAGCTTATTAAACAGTTGTCGATCACTAACATTCAGCATAAATATTGGGTGCATACAAGCCAAGCGTGCTGTTCTGTTTATTTGATAGTAAAAACTAAGGAAAATGAATTGTGAAAGATACTTTCCTTATAAGGATCTTTTCTAGTAAACTCATAGCAAATCTTTCAAATTTATAACTGTAAAAATGGACTTTCTTGGTTGGGTTACATTGTAAACAGCAGAATAGAAAGTTGGGAAATCGATTTATTTATGTAACCAGAGTAATTTAAGTCGTTCGAAGTTAGCTCCTCAAGTAGAGCCGGCAGATATCTCAAGCTTAGATAAGATTTAAAATTATAATATGAACACATAGAATTAGGATACAATATTTAAATTTAATGCTTTAGAAAGCATTTTAGAATCAAGAATGATGATAGACAAGGTGATGACACTCGTCGTCTTAAACAAAACGAACTGTCAAATTTTGATAATAATTGTAAACACAGCCTTTCTGACATTTCGTTCATGACGACACGTATCAATGTGTTCTGTTTTCAATCGCGCTCCAAAAAAGTAACGGGTCGAAATTATCGTAATTTTTTATTCTATCAACCGATTTCATTCGACAATAACGGAACGACAATTTCAGAAGCGGCAATAACGGATTTTTCCCCCTATATATAAACATTATTACTTTATTACGGCCACATGAACTAGACTCTGCTCAAAATTATGAACGAAAAAATCGCAGAGAGCCTCTAAAAATTTTACGCAATCACCCTGCTATTTTATTTAGTCTTTATTTTCTTCGCAACTGCTCGGTTAAAAAGTGTTTTTGACTAAAAAGGTGTAGTAACGACTTAATCTACCGATCCTGTGAAAATATGGATAACTCATCTTACGCCCCCTTTGTAAAATTACACTATATATTGGCATTTTAAGTTCGGGAGAAGATTAGCTAGGCATATGTATGTCCCTAGACAGCATCGAATACGCTCGCGTACGTAAAAAAATATTCCTCTAATAAAAACCTTTTGCTCTTCTTTATCTTCTTCTTTATTGGGGATAGACTTATGTGTAGAAGTTCACGCAAGTGAGGAAAGTTCTCTGAGCACCATTCACCTGGGAATGATCAGAAACGATTCTTTTACATACGGCTCAAGCAGCTTACGACTTCCGGCCTTAGACCAAGTATTCTCTGGGTAGCCAAAAATTGTCCGTTTGAAGGTGCGTATAAGTGAGAAGGCGAAACTTCTTTTACCTTTTAGTTAATTAAAGGCAAGTGTAGAGAAAAAAGAAAATAATAATTGAATTTAAAGTAAATGTAAAGTAACAGGACTAATTTCGATTTACTCGTGGTCGAATGGATAATCATTTTTGGTACCTGGAGTTTAATTCAAAGTTTTTTATTCAGGAAAAAAACAACGTTTTTGGCAAAATTTGATTTTAATGGGTGAAATTATTCAAAATAGAATGAGCACTAAATTTTTTGTGTGGAATCAAATTTCTTGGTGCCAAAACATTTAAAATGTTGGAAAAGGTGAAAACCATTTTGAAAGATCACTTAGGCCTATGAAAAGTAAAAGCACGATTTGTTCCAAAATTTCTAAACTTTTTCGAAAAGCAGCGTCACGTAATGGCCGTGAAAGAATACTTTCCAACTACCAGGATGCCATGAAACGTTTTATTACAGGCGTTGAGTCGTGGATCTATGATTACGGCCGGACAGACGATCTATCAGCCGAATAAATGTGAGCAGAAGCCGTAAAAATCACGTCAAAGCTGGTCAAAAATCAAGTTTATGTTGACAATTTTCTTCGATTGCCGACGTTTGGTGCACTCCAAATTCCTTCCGACTGACCTATATGTACATAACTGTCAACAAGGAATACTATTTGACTGTTAGCCGGAATTATGGGCCGACAACTCTTGATTTTTGCACCACGATAATGCACCGTCGCATACTGCACTGATTATTCGTGAGTTTTTTGCCAAAATTTCAGCCAATATCGTGCCGTAACCAAACAAACAAAGCTAAATCGGTCGACAACGGGATTTAGCTCTGTTTGACTTCTAGCTATTCAGCAAACTCACACGACCGCTCCAGGGAAATCGTTTTGAGTCTTTTCAGACATTAACCGTTAACCACCACGTGCCTTGAAGGCTATTTCGAAAATTAACTTTAACAACTATTTCAAGGATTCCGAAACGTTGGCACAAATGTATTTGAGCTAACAGAGGTAACTGTAAGGGAGATGGCATAGATTTTGAAGAATAAATTGAGAATTTTAAAATTTTGAACAAAGTCATACTAGTTTTTGCTCATACTAACATACCATCCTCACATATTATACTGTGTTTTATGACTTTATTGTTTGAGAGCTCTGAATTTTATAAAAGAGCCTTTTGAGAGCAAATGAATTTTGAACTACAAATGATATGCCTTCAATTCTAATGGCTTAATCTCATAGAAAAGCACTTTGTACCCCAAAAAGTTTCTCTATTCACACAAATACTTCAATGACTTTCAATTGTCCTTTCATAACTAAAACAAAAGTGTTCTTCATTTTTCAATGCAATTAAAACCGAATCCTTTGAATGTGTTGCTTAATAATATTTGCCGTCTTATTTCGTATTTTCACGAATTAAATCATATTCTTGAATAGGATTTGATTTAGCACTCTATTTTTTACAATTTTCATTGCTTGCATGTGTGCGCGTTTGTGTTGATACGCACCTGATTCTTGGCCGCATCGCCGATCAAACGTTCCGTATCGTTGAACGCAACATAACTGGGTGTGGTGCGATTGCCCTGGTCGTTGGCGATTATTTCGACTTTGTTGTTTTGCCAAACGCCCACGCAGGAATAGGTGGTGCCCAAGTCAATACCGATCGCTGGTGCCTTAACCATATTCGCGCTTGATTTTTCAAATGCTCACTTGAATGCACTAAAAATAAATGCAATGATATTTTATATTATGTGTATTGCACTCGGCACTTTCTCCGGCCAATTATGAGATATGTATGTTTGTCACTTGGTTGTTTGACTTGTGACTTGACAAATGCTCGCTTTCAAACGCGCCGGCAAACTGTTGGCTTTTCCTGCTGCAACACTCGAATTTATGCCTTCGCGCTTTCTTGCTATTCTTCTAATTTGCCGAATATTTGTGTTTGTATTTGTGTATTGACATGCACGAAGTTGCTGGCTTGCGTTTATCTCGTAGCGTAGACGAATCTCTTTGCGCATGCGCTTGAGCAGTTACGAGCACACGAGTTGTGAAAAGTTTTGTTTACGTTTAGCAGTTGTTTTCAACGAAAGTGAACGTTGTGGTGCTTCGGCTTTACTCGTTACTGGCGGCAATCGTGAGGGCTAAAATGCTTTCGGCCAATTGTTTGTGGAAAAGTTCTCAATAATAATAGCGTTGTTGGAAATGTTAATTTTGTTTGTTTTGTGGCAAGGAAATTCTTCTAGAACACTGCTTTTGAATTTTTTTTTTAATTAAAATTTCGATATCAAAACTAAATGAACGTATTGATGACTTTTCTGACATAAAAATAGAATTTCATTTGATTTTCGGTTTGTGATTTTTTTTTGGCTGTGAGTGGGCGGTGTGGGAGCATTTTGCGTCGGCAGACAGCTTAAATCTGTAGACATTGTATATGCAATAACAAAGTTTGTGGATACATGTACATATATACATATTATATGTATGTATACTATACATATGTATGTTTGCCATTAAATTATAGCATTCAAACTTGTGGCTTATGAGCTTAAATTAATACATTTTAATAATAAAATAAATGCTTATATTTATGGATCGTTTAACTTAGATTCACTAAAAATACAATAAATAAGTATTCAACGTTTGCCCTTTTTCTTCTTCTTTTGTCCATCGGGCCAAGCAAAGCCACGCGTTTTGAGTAAGTCCTAAAATGAAAGTAGAATTTAATACCACATTAATTAATAAACTCTGCTTTAATTAATACCGTGCTACTTTGTCTAATACAATTATTTTCGTGTAGTAAACCACATATAGACATAGATATTTACGTAGTACTTAGTGTACAAAAGCAAAATATAAATTTTGAAAAAATGGAGATTTATTTTTAAAGTCTCATCAATAAAATCAGCCGGGATCATCATCGAAATTCACGGAAATGGAATTGAACATCTCCAAAACATCGATTTATCGCATTTTGATCGAACATTTGGGCTTACGAACGACACTTGTGACCGATTATTTGACCAAAAATCACATTTTAACCATTAACCATTCCCCGTATTCACCTGATATGGCACCATGCGACTCCTTCCTTTTCGGAAAAAATGCATTTGCCCATGAAAGGAGAGCGTTAGTAGACGTAGAGGCCATTCAAAAGGCTTGCACCGGCATACTGTCGGCCATACCAACCAACGAGCAATGAAGCTGAAGAAGACTATTTTGTGTAAAATAAATTGATTTTGCCGAAAAAAAACATTTGTTCTGTTTTCTTTTTAAGTCCTTTTTACTTTGGAACGCACCTTGTAAGTAGTTTACACCTTGCGAATCCCAGAAAACGGTAGTGTTTGTCGATAGAACATATCAGTCTTTACCTACAACGCAGAAGGTGTCGGATGAAGTCCACGCTTTCGACTGTTAATTGGTTTATTGTTAGTATCAGTGGAGCCTCTTCAAAGGCCAAGCATTAGCTCCTTCGGATTGCATTTAATTAGCTTCAAATACTATTGCGAAGTGGTCACTCGGCTTCGTTTATTATCCGGAGTGGAAAAACACAACACCCATCGAGCCCCAGCTTTCATGCGTTATTTTTAGGTTCCTCTGTTTCAACTATCTCCTGCACTTTCAATAGCAGTAAACGTTTCGATGCATCTGGACATGACACCTAAAAAACTTACCTTAGAACACGTAAGCCCATTCTTGGCGGTCTTTAACGAAGTGGGGCAATTTTATACAGCATCTAATTGCTTTTTGATTTCATTATGTGATTTCCCTTCCAAAAAAAAAAAATAATCGAACATTTTTCTGAAATAAGCAGATATGTCCGCTTCATCGCGACAAGCGTCTAGAAATAGTTCTACACTAAAGTAATAGTCTGTTTCAACAGACCGCACTTTTATTTTTATATTTACCTGCACATTGTGACACACATAGTAGGCATTCTCCATGGCTACATCGTTGAAGATGTCGCAACCCAGCGACTTGCTGCCGCTGCTCTTCTTCTTACCATCCTTTTTCTTCTCCCCCTCCTCGCCGTTACCATTAGTACTGGATGAAGAATCTTTGCTATTACGTTTCTTCTTGCCTTTTCCACCCATTTGCAAAAATAAATTTACAATAATTCCAAATTAGAAAGACCAGAGTTAAAACATGATCGAAAATATTGTTTGTATTGACTTAATAAACAACTGTACATCTCCTTAGTAACATTGAGTGAAGCTAATGTTTACTGCTATTTCTTTGATGCAGCTCGTTGCCCAACTATTGTAACTGTTCTGGAAAATAACTGTCGTATTGTTCTGGCCAAACAACCGATGTGATCCATTCAATGTACGACGAAACACGCGTGTAAACTCCCGGATATGCGCTGCGACAAAATTCGCCATACGAGGTCATTCCGATTAAATAGTAGCGAAAATGTTTCCTATTTTTACGCATTAGGTTCAATTGCAGCGGTCCGCCGGAATCACCCTGAAGAGATATATAAAATATAACTTATTTATTATACATATATATATTTTTCTAACCATATAAGCTTAAGCTCTCTTCGAACCATTTTCCGAACTATGGTATAACAGAAATGCACATATACTCTGTTATATGTATCTTAGGGGGAGAGAACAGTTTTACAGGAAAAATAAAGGCAGGGTCTATATATGAAAATAGCCGAGAGTTTTGACCTGAAATCTAACAATACCTTGCTCTGTTTTCAATATCTCTTGCTGAAATTGAAATGAGGATTTAACAGTTGCTTTGGTAACATATCGACGAGAGAAGACATAGGGATATATTGTGAAATATTTTTCATCAAATTTAGACGTTATGTCTTTTGAAATACCTGTAGTTGGGTTATAGCTTGAGTTTGATTCAAAGAGTCTTTAATTAAGTTCTTTTCGAAGTTGGCGCTCAAGATCCGAGTCGCTAGGAAAATTATACAGATTCTTAAAAAGCAATAACATCTTAGTACTAAAAAACTTCAAATAATTACCATAGATCGTCTAGATCAATAAATATTAAAGTGAAACAATGATAGTTTTAACCTGTTAATTTTCGTAGAGATAAACGGCGAAAAAAATTAAAGAAGTTAATATGAAAGTTCAACAGGTCATTTCATTTATGAGGCCGTTTGTCACAATATAGTAATTTATAATTCTTGGTTTGTATCGTTTTACTAAGAGTATTGGCGCAAATATATTATATTATTCTGAAAATATAACTAAACTTCCGTACCAATAAGTACTCGTTTGGACTAAGTACGCAATGTAAAGAGGAAGTCCACTTTCGAGGTGAACATACATATGTTTATCTTCTAATGTATGCCCCTGCCTGTAAGAAAAAATGTGCCCTGTCATCAAACAAACAGTCGTCGCATTCGCGACTTCTCTTCCACGTCACTGTTGACAGTCACAACTTCGAAGTCGTAGATAATTTTGTCTATCTTGAAACCAGTATCAACACCAAAAATAACGTCAACCTCGAAATCCAACGCCGAATAACTCTTGGCAACAGGTGCTACTTCGGACTGAGTAAGCAATTGAGAAGTAAAGTCCTCTCTTGACGAACAAAGACCATATTCTACAAGTCACTCATCATACCCGTCTTTCTATAGGGCAGAGGCATGGACGACGACAATATCTGATGAGTCGTCGTTACGAATTTTCGAGAGAAAGGTTATGCGAAAGATTCATGGTCTTTGGCGCATTGATTGAACGATGAGATGTACGAGATATTTGACGACATGGATATAGTTTAGCGAATTAAGACACAGCGATCACGTTAGCTAGTTGGAGCAGAGGAAGAGGAAGACCTCCACTCCGTTGGAAAGACCAGGTGCACCAAATAGCGAATAGGAAGAACGACTGGAGCGCTGTTGCAAACTCAGCTATAACCGGGTAGGCGGTGTCTACACCAAAAAAGAAAGTGAAGTTAGAAGAAGAAAGTAAAAGGTCAACGGCTAATGATTTGAAGCAAAAACACGCAATAGGGTTTATCAACGGTTTCCTAAAAGAACGAAAAATCTGACACAATTTACATTCAGTAAGGGACTGTTCTCAAATCAGCAATTTCAAATTTATTTTATGAGGCTATTACAACATCTCAACATTTCTTTCGCGATTTCAGTAACAAACTGTAAGTCTCTCTCTCGGAATTATTTATAGAATTTTCGTGCTACGATTATTGTAATATATGCTTAAATATTTAAGTTTATGTCGACACAAACAACAAAACCAAAAGAGAAAAGCGTTAACTGTATAAACTACTCACCTGACATGTGTCACGATTTCGCTCGTAATCCTTGGCACAAATCTGCGAATCCACTACCCCCTCCGGCACACCAGAGTCCGACGGCAAAACTTGGTTGCACTGCAGCAATGGCACAATGGACAACTCCAACTCGGTTAAGATATTTGTGGGCGCCTGTGCGAAAGCGGTCGAGCCATAACCCATTGCATGTAGTTTATTATAAGGTATGTCGTCACTAACCCATAAGCGTATCGGACGTACAAAGTTCGTGTAGCTGTAAGATAGGTACATACATACATATGTACATATGAGTTTGAGATAAAAAAAAACAGCAATTTCTTGTAATTGACGGTCTTACACAACGGGCTGCGCCAAGCGTATCAGTGCTATATCGTGATAGTAGTACGAGGAGTTGTATAAAGGATGTATCTGCACTTCGGCAATGGAACGCACTTGGAATACTTCATCGAAGTCAACGTTTTTTAGATTGATGTCGCCCACTTTGACGGTCTCGGGCTGTTGGCTTTGAGGGGAAGCAATTTAATTATTTTTACTAAAATATATATGTTTGTATGTATATAAGTCTTACCCGCTGTGGTAGCAACAGTGCGCTACCGTTAAAACGAACATCTCATTAATTAAACTGCCACCGCATTTGTACTCGTAGCTGTCGGCGAAGGAGCGAAAACCTAAGGCAGCCTGCATTATAAATTTAAAAAATGTTTATATTATTATTTAATTGCGCTCGTTATCAACGCCAATTAATTAATTACTGCTCTTCTATATATATACTTATATATATTATTATATATATGTATGTATATTGATATCGATCCATTACAATATTCTTGAATGCACGACAGTGACCTCAATTTCGTTAATAATTTCAAAGCAATATGTAATGTGATTAGCGCGAGGCAAAAGTGAAACCGGTTTGATGCGGCGAGCTCGTGCTATTGGAATGCAATAATCTATATAGCCAATAAAATTAAAATTCTTCTCACCATATGCGGATATTGTCCTGGCGCCACAATGGATCGGCCATTGAAATCATCATTCACTTCGTCATTTTCGAGTGCCTCATCATAAGCCGCACCATGCACTTTTCTATCCACCTGATTATAGATGGCGGCAAAACGTTTGTAAAGTCCGGGTGGCGGTCGTTTCGGACCGAACTTATTATTACCACGCCCACGACAGTGACCATAAGCATGTCCACGTCCATGCCCATTACCAGGCCCGTTAGGGTTTGTGCAGTCCGCCGGCGTATTGCTGTTGTCCGACTCAGTGGCTAAGACGAAACCTTGCAAGCCCTTGTTACCACCCTTATTCTTATTGGCACCATTACCACGCCCATTACTGCCACGTCCATTATTGCCATGTCCGTTGCCGTTGCCTTTGCCTTGTTCATTGTCAAATTGAGCGAACAGCTCTGGTTGTATGTCATAGTCTCCAGACGGTGATTGAATGCCCGCTTGCGGATTGCGACCTTGACCGTGCACTTTTCGGGTTTGCCGCAAACCGGACACGCCAGTGCTGTGTATACTCAACACACCGAAGTATGAGATGAGCAGTATTCTAATATTCATTGCGCTTCGTGTGTTTAGTAATTCTTTTATTTATACAAACAATGTTTATTTGCAACCATCGACGCGCTTATCAAGCGCCAGACTGAATGCTGCAGCGTTTTGAAATCTCAATTTTAGTCAGCGTTCGAGCTCAAATAGCAATTAATTGCATTTTTTTAGAATTGTGTTGTTTTTTGTTTTGTATAAATTTTTTAGGAAATAAGCAGAATGGGTCCAAAAAAACTTATTGATGTTACGGTGAGTAATGTAAATAAATATTCGACAAAAACTGTGTACTTAGACGAGAATTATCTGTCTTCATCTGCTAAGCTTTTTGCGACAAGTGCGTCTGAGACCAATACTTAATTTATTTATCAAAAAAAAAAAAATAAATAAAACAAAAAAAAAAAAAACAAGAAAAAACGTTAACTTCGGCTGCACAGAAGCTAATATACCCTTCACAGGTGCATTTCTTTTAGTAAATATGCGTTCAGTTTGTATGGAATCTATATGCTATAATAATCCGATCTGATACCACGTCAAATGCGAAAGTTTTCGATACAAGAACTTGATTCCGATCGTTCGGTTTATGTGGCAACTATATGCTATAGTGAGCCGATCTGAACAATTTCTTCGGAGATTACATTGTTGCCTTAGAAAATAACCTGTGCCAACTTTTGTGAAGATATCACGTCAAATGCGAAAGTTTTCGATACAAGAACTTGATTCCGATCGTTCAGTTTGTATGGCAGCTAAATGTTATAGTGGTCCGATATCGGCAGTTACGACAAATGAGCAGCTGCTTGAGTGAGAGACTAGTTCGTATATATACAGACAGACGGACATGGCTAAATCGTCTCAGCATACTGATCATTTGTACATATTTTTTGGTGTTTTACATAAACTTGCCTTTTTCGGGTGGACTCCAGTGTAAAGCTCCACATAAATATGAAGCCAATTTGGCGGCAATTTACACAATATCTGCTTGAATCTTGCGCTTAGTTTTAAACTAGCTTTTAGTTGGCGATGATCTTATTTCCACACTAGCTCTTAAAATCCTTTTTCCCTACCCATCAGTTCATATTAGAAAATAGCCGAAATTGCTCTAACTTCCTTCTTCTCTTCCTGTGAAGGAAAATCTTTATCTTGTGCCCTCTTATTTCTACTTTTATCGGCACCTAAATAGAGTCAAGATGGTATGAAGCGATTCTGAGTTTGAATCAATACCGGTTAAGTTCTTTCAAAAGCCCCCTTGTTTGAATTGGATGTATATTAAGATAAACTTCTTCCTTAGGGGATTACATGGGTTTCCTCGTTTAAAAAACCGCCTTTTTCAATAATTTGTTTCTCATATAAAAAATTTAATATTTTATTCGAATTTTTTATTGTTAGAAATATACACTATTAACAAAGAATTTCTGAAATTTTTGAAACAAAATATTTTAAACTCTGTCATTGCGACGCCATTTCCGGTTACCTCTCGGAAAAAAGATGCGACCACGTTGGCAGGATAACTCCTTACAGGATCATCTAAAGGAAAAAATTAAGTGTTTTAGTTAAAACCTTAACTTGGAATTTATACGAAGAAAAAAATGGAATTTTTAGCAGACATTTTTACAAAAAAATGAAAAATGCAGTGAAAATTTCTCAACATTTTATTTTCATGCAGATCGGTTGAGTAGTTCGAGACAAACGGTTTCAAAAACAAAGATTCGGGAAAAACGCGTTTAAAGATGGCGCACTTAACCTAACTAGCCTCGAGCTCACAAGTTCTCAAAGCTGTATCTCCGAAACTATCACTGGGATCAACTTGAAAATTTAGTAAATATTCTAGAAGTGTTTTAGAATTAAATCAGACAATAAAAAATCGAAAAGTATCCCCTTTATGCAATAGGGGAGCCATTCACACTGCTTTTATCTGGTGAGAGATTGCAACGCGTTGAAGTGAGGTATAATGTAGTTATTCTTTTGAGATGCGTATTTATTTGTCAGGTATCATGGTTGTTAAGGCGGAGATTTCGGATTTTCCCAGGTTCAAAGTAACCCTGTTGTATCTGGCCTGGTGTATCTGCCCATCTGCTCGAGTTCAAGTGCCTTCCTTTCCTTTCCAAAATTGGAAGAACTACATAAATATTTCAACAAATTTAAAGTTGGATTCACTTCAGTCAAGTAGGTATGAAACAGATGTGTACGCTAAATTTCTGAGCATGCTATTTGAAAAAGCGTTTATTTCTTTGATAAATGGCGACAAAAGGAGAATGTTTACTACATTGCGGTCACACAAATTTACCCATAACCTTCAATTAATCTTTTACTTAGTTTGGGAAAATTTCACTATTAATTCTAAAAAAGTTGTGCCTAACCATAACCTTGGTGCACACGTGCCAAATGCAGGTATCTACATGTATGAAAAACGGTCTATTGTTTTGTGCGGTTTTTTCGGTAGCCCCACATTACGCACAGATAAAGGAAATAATGGAATGAGCGATCATAAGCATTTGAAATTTTAATTGATGCTGGGATTACCGAGAACCTTGAAGAGTATTTATGGAAAATAAAAATATGCTACTACAGGCCATTCAAAAAGGAATTTCAACAGGGAAATTTCGAATATAAAGGGCTTTCCGGGCTCAAGAAATAATAGACAGTAAACAGATGTTGAAGTAGATATTTAGAAAGGTTTTGGAGTTTTCTCATACCTACAGTCATACGCAGGAAACAGTATTAAATTAGTGTTCGAGAGAAACAGTTGTTGATGTGAGATTTATGCTTTAGTGTTATTAATATTTAAATAAAGTGGAATAAATTAAAAATAATAATAATAAAATGTGAGTATGGTGCAATTAAAGTTTAAGAGGAGTGGTATTCATATAATCCTAACCTCAAAAATTTTTGAAATAAACTTCAGTTTCATGGAAGAACGCTTCCAAACTTAGAAAAATTAATAAAAAATATTTAACAAATATAAAATTAATATTAAATATTTGTTTATTATTGTTATATGTATTAAAGCTGCTTTTAAATATCTATAAATTTGTTAAATGAAGTCCATGTTTTAAGTGAATAACCTCTTCTTATGATATTCTTCGATTTTTGTCATTGCCTCCATTTTTTGGTACATTCACCTTTATAAATATGTTAAACTAACGGTAAAATAATGTTTACCTTTTCAGGCTACCTTCGATGATATGTCGCGATGTCAACTTTGGATTCTACACTTTATGCAAAACAATGTTTCGTTTGCGATTTTTTGACAAGTTACTTATTTTGAGTATGCTTTTTAACTTAATTGCAGGTAATTAGTACTTCATTTTATTTACTATTATTTTATATGATTACAAGCATACATTTTCTATCAGTTTTCGGAAAACCACAGATGTTCCAGTACTACAGCAGCACCAAGTACACAGATTCGCGGCGTGCGGGAAGGAAAATGTTTGAGAAGTTGCCAAATGGCATAAATATCTTTGAAATGAAACCACGTCCGCCAAAGCGTGAAACAAATATTCCTAATCGCTATTATTATAATGTGTCTAAGAGCGCTAATACGGCGGTCACAGTAACGACCAGTAAACCACTGACTACAACACAATCAATTCCTTTTGTGGATTCTGACACTTATCGCTTATTCGGTAATATTAAAAATGAGATCGGCGTTACTGTCGCGCGGCCGGAGGGCTCTTTTTGTCGTCGTAGCTTTGATGGCAGAGCCGGTTACTGCGTTTTGGCTTATCAATGCATACATGCCGTTAACAACTATCGTGTGCATCGCTCCAAATTAGATGTGTGTTCATATCGTCAAAGTATACCGGTAATTTGTTGTCCGTTATTTGTCAAGTATGTGGAGACCAAAAGTCCCAGCGCAAGAAGTGAGTTTATACCAATATGCATATGATCAAGGATTTTAAATTATAATTTCTTTATTGTTTGGTTTTAGAATGCGAGCACTATAATGACATTATTGAAGGTGTGAAATTCGATTTGCCGCGCAAGTTTTCTGGGAAAACCTGTGTACCAAGTTTGCCGTTGATTGTAGGCGGTGAGGTCACCAATGAAGCTGAATATCCACATATGGTACATATTTCAAATTAAATTCAAATAATTAATATTGAATTGTAATTCTTTCATTGTTTTCTTTTCTTCTTTCTAGGCCGCATTGGGTTGGTCTCAAATAGGCCAGGATATAAGATGGGGTTGTGGCGGCTCACTAATAAGCGAGTTGTATGTTCTCACTGCCGCACATTGTGCAACATCAAACGCGTAAGTTATATAAATTAATGTAAGAAGTTAAAAAAAATTTAAAAAAACTACTTTTATTTTAGGAAGCCTCCTGATTTGGTCCGTCTAGGTGCATCCAATCTAAATGAAATCTCAAACGAATTCCAAGATATTAAAGTGGCTGTTATTATATTGCATCCGAAATATAAATCATTTTCTCACTATCATGACATAGCGCTGATAAAATTGGAGAGTAGTGTGAAAATATCTTCGAAAGTGCATCCAGGTTGCCTTTGGCAATTGCCTCATATAAATATACCAACTATGGTTGCTACTGGTTGGGGTCGCACCGCATTTCGTGGCTCTCGTTCCGATAAGCTACAAAAGGTGGAGTTGAACATGATTGACCAAAATGTGTGCAGAAGAATATATAATAAAGAACGTCGTTTGCCAAACGGTATTACGGATGAGCAGTTTTGTGTCGGTGATATGGCTGGAGGGAAGGATACATGTCAAGGTGATTCCGGTGGTCCTCTGCACGCTGAATTGCCGGAATTGAGATGTGTGAAGTTTATTGTTGGCGTTACATCATTTGGGAAATTTTGCGCCAAACCCAATGCACCGGGTGTTTACACGAAAGTTTACCCATACCTGACATGGATCGAAGGCATTGCATTCAAGGAAAATTAAATCCTGTTAAGAACTGGTTAAAGCTGCCTTAGCACTTCAACTATTGCTTTATTTATTGAAAACATTTTATTTTATTTTTAACATATACATACATATGTACATACATATCATAAGTACTTTATGTTTGCTTTGCTGTCGAAGTCGGGAGGCTCAGGGAATATGCTGATTCATCGGGGTCAGACACTTAGAGAGAAGAGTATTAAATTAGTGGGATTTGGTTGGCATGCAAATAAGTGGTTCGAGTCACGTCGGGACTCATTGTATGCCAGACATAAGTATATTTGGTATGTCGGGAGTTTAACCTGATGTAATATCCAGAATGAAGTTGCGCAAGGTTCACTCTAGATTGTCGGGCAACTCGACCTCTTCGCGCCCATAGGTGCTAGTTTAACTAGAGGTTAGTAGGCTATTCAATGAGAGGGAGTCGAGAAAGGTTTTACTGGGTCGATATTTTAATGCTTCTATCAGGCACCTTTTATAATGTCCTCAGCTTTCATTTAAACTTATTATTAAAAAAAAGGTCTAAACATGGCATCCTTCATTTAATCTTCACATACAGTATACAACAACTGGCAACATTGTGGAAATTAATGTGAAGTTATTTAAGTTCCACACATTTGGTGATTGTCGGCAGGTTTCACACTTGTTGATTTTTTATTCCTTCGCTTTAAAAATAGTTACATGACTTCAATTAATAATAAGTGCCATCCTTGAAGTGTAAACAAATACATAAAGTGAATTAAGTGTATAAATCAACAGTTTTGAACTGAATAACTGTTCCAATTTCTTCGTTACAAGTCGTCCTTTAAAGTCATTACAATAAGTTTTCCTAATATAAGAACTTAATATTCCATGAAACAAGTGAATGGTAAGCGCTACCGACGCATTTAAAACATTCATTATAAAGATCTTCATCGAATTCGACAAATTATCAGGGAAGAATTTGCGAATTTCATCACAATCCACAACGGCATATAATTTTGGCAAAGATTTTTCCAAAGGCTGTACATATCTTAGGTCCTGCTATAAATTTCCAAAATGATTCAAAATCACAGCGACAATAATGGTAGTAGCAACACCACTGTATGTCCCGTTAAGATTACAACTCATTCAGATACTACGACAAATATGAGGTGCCCATATTGCTTTTTTACTACAAAAGGAAAATTAACAATTTGCTTTGTTTTAGAACTAAGGAACAACGTGACATTATGGAGGAAAATAAACATATAACATTGCAATTTCACTCACAGGAATTGCAACAGTTTTTAACCCAATCTCGAGTCGATAATAGTTATGGTATTACAACCAAACATCTTGACATTTTCACTTCGGAAGCTAATTCGGGATACGAGCAGTTGAGTGAATTGGAAAATATGAAACCGTTGCCATTAACACCAGAAAATTATCCTAATAGTGTTATAACCAAGTAAGCAGCAAATTACTATTTACATATATACCCTACATGAATTAAGTAGGACATTTCTGAATCCTACTTTCGCTAATTAATTTAAATTTTTATATCAAGAATTTAGACATTATCGCTCAAAAACGTTTACCCTAAAATAATTCAATTTTACCACGAACTGGTTTCAAATTTGTTTACCAAACAATTGTAGATAATTAAGATATTTCTAAAATTGGTGACTCTGGGCTATGTACTTTGGCAGCTGACTTGTGGATTGTAACTGAAATATATGGTTGCCAAACTTACGAATTCCAAAAATCATCAATTCGTATTTAAATTATCAAAGATTAATGAAATTAAAAAAAAAATTACTCCAATTTCACATTTTTAAAAACTAATTTATCATTTAAAATGGGTTTTATGACAGAAAATGAGTTTTTCGATATTAATGAGTCTGTTCATTCGATTATTAAAAATAGTTGGTGACTCTGCTATTGCGCAGATTCGGTTTTCTTTAATAATTGTTATTTACACTGTTCTATATGTTTTCATCTTTAATTTGATGTGTGCTTACATTTGAAGTAGTAACTATATTTAAACTGGTAATATTTTTTCGCTATGTCGTGGCATGTGATCAGGTAAATAGACAGAAATTTTACCAAATAAATTTGGGAGTGGACTAATTACATGGAGATAAAATCCAAAGTTGGACTCAAAAGTTTTTGAGCAGCTGCTCAACAACCCAACGTACAATAGAAAAAACAATATTTTATATGTGACGAATATTTGTAGCAGGTACGCAACTATATAAATAAGTGCAGGGTTACAGGAATATAAAATAAATAAGGCTGTTAAATTACGCCAACAATTGGTATTTATAGCGTTCTTACTCCTTGCAGCGAATATTCTTGTAGCTCAAATCAAACTAACAAGGACACAGCCATGACGGATATCGTTCAAGTTTCCGATACGTCCAATTCTCCAGACGAACTGAACAAAGAGGAGGATATTATGTGAGTATTAGTTAGCGAAAACATATACATATATGATATGTGTTTGAACATGAAATATATTCTTGCAGACCAAGTGATGAGCCTTATCAATATCTACAAGAACTTAATGTAAGTAAAATCATACCAAATAATTTTCGTAATTAATGAAAAACATAATTTCTTTACAGTCGGATAATCTCATGCAGTTCAGTCAGGTAAGAAAAGTCTCTTACACTTCAACTAGTTTACTTTAAAGAGAAACGTAGCGTGAGATCACTTTGCACAAATATGAGCAAAAAACTTGTGACCGCCGACAGCACCTATACAAGAAAGAAAGTGAAGCATTGAAAATATTTCTAGGAATCATACCTAAGCACTTACATCTTGAATAAGGGAAATATTTATTTCCAGCATCCCGAGTGGTTCAATTTTATATTTTGTTACTAATACCAGCAGCGAAAATGCTTCCACCGATTGCTTGAAACGGAAATCTGCATGTGTCAAATTGATGCGTTGTAGAATCAATCCAGTTTCTTGCACCTGGAAAAGAAATGCTTTACCTAACATTGTTAACAACTTGTTTATTAATTTCAATTACACCTTTACTACGTTATTATCGCTAATTTGCGCCAGTAAAATTACTTCGATTACAGATATCGCCAGAAAAGCGGCATTAATTAAAGCTTGAAACACATCATAGGGCTCGTTGTTTACCAAAGTTTCAGCAACAGCTAAATATTGCCTAAAACACCCTACAGTGATGCCGCACAAATTACAAAGCAAAGAACAAATTACCGGCGCCGAAAGCAATTGCAAATACTTTGTTGTTTGTCTACAAATAATGTCGTATTTCTGCGCAAGCCTATCCATACGATCAGCCAAGTCACAAAAACGCTGCATCCGATAATATGGCTTGTGCAAACTCATCTGTAGCGGAGTTTGCATGCAGTTGACCTCATTGACAATTTCACATAAACGTTCATTTAATGTTTCCACAAGAATTTTGCCAATAACCAATGTGCTAAAGAAGAGATTGGGATACATTTGTGCGAGCACTAATGGCAGGACTGTATATAAACTCCACAATAAATGTTTATCTGGTTCGTTACGTATTTGTTGTAACAGAAATGTCGCCTCATAAATGGCAGGTATTAGTAAGGCTTTAAGTATAACCAATCTCACTGATACAATCACCGTTCGCGCGCTGACTTCGAAGAATCTTAATGTCTCAAAAAGTGAGATAGTGTTAAAAAAGCGCACAAATGTACTTGACAGTATGAACGCTGTCAAATAGTTGACAATGACCGATGTGATATTCATGTAACTGTATAAGCTAGTAACATTTTCCAAATCGAATTCGTCGTTCTGCCAATCGTTCAGCATACTTTGACCATAAGTCACTGTGAAAGCGCTTGCAATTGCCAATGCATACATTGCTATTATATAAGAATTGTAAAAGCGACCTTTACGTATTGATATGCCATGCGCTGTAAATCCGAAAAACATCAAACTGGCAAATATAATGATAACACATATTTTGACCCATTTTAAATGCTGCATCCTGAATGTGAATATGCGATTTTACGTTGTTAATTTACAATTTTTTTAACCGTTTTAAAATTTCAGAAGTTTCCGTCGCTATTCTCTACCAATTATGGTTTGTTTGCTTTCCAAGCGCGCACTTTAGCAGTATGAACTCGAATTTGTTTGAACGCATCGAAAATAAAAGTAAATTTTTGTTAATTGCCTTTTAATTGTTTGCTGTTATCTACAAATCGTATCTAGCAGTTTTCCCCCCCAATAATTTATTTCAAAATGTGTTTGTCATGCGCTTTTACATTGTTTCACATATAATGGTCATAAAAGCAAACATTTTCACATCGTTACACGAAGTCACGCTGTTGAAAACTTTAACAAATTTAGTCCTACAAACTACCAGTAAGCTATAATACTATTATTTTGATCAGTTTGGATGGCAAATGTGTTGCTGTTGTTGTAGCGGTAGAATTTTGACAGTCCTTGGCCGAATAAAAATGCGTATCCGTTCCGGTTACGTAGACTCGACTGTCGTGGGAACGCGTATGACAGCTATAAATAATGGTGTGATCTGACCAGCTTGTTTAGAGATTGTATTGTTGATTTGGACAATAATCCATGCTAAATTTCATTAAAGATGGTCAAATAAAAAAGTTTTCTATGCAGTTCGTGAAAGCTATGGTGGTCCGACCTTAATAAGTTGTTCGCAGAGTATGTGGTTGCCTTCAACAATAATCCTTGTAAAATTTCGTGAAGATGTCTCTTCGAATAAAAATGTTATCCAATACAAGAGAGAACTTTCTCTTGATCGTTCAGTTTGTATGGAAGCTAAATGCTATAGTGGCCCGACATCGGCAGTTCCGACAAATGAGTAGCGAACGTGTACAAAATTTCAGATTGATAACACAAAGGCTAGTTAGTTGAAGTAGCCTCACATATAAACAGACGGACAGACGGAATTTGTGGAATTTAAAAATGAGAAATTTAATGTCAATTTCGTAAGTATGTATTATTGTATGTATGTCTATTTAGAACCCGGTGGGAAATATCACTAGGAAAAGTAAAAAAAGTCGACAAGTTCTTTTCTTCGAATGTGACAGCTTAAAAATATCGATTCTTCGAAATTGTGGTCTACTCCGTCAATGAAACTTTAAAAAATCATCTCTACAAAAAGAGATCCGTATAATGATCTGCGAGCCGTGTAATGACCTATAGTCCAAAAAATCGCGAAATTGAATTATATGCTGTTGAGGTGTTAAATTAAATATTGGTACTATCAAAACCCTCTTGAGATATAAATAACATCTGTGCGATGTAAAGTACAATTTTAAATTACTGCGGATCTTATATTTTCCAAGAGTCGTAAAATTTCTCACAGGGTCGCTCAAAGAACTATCGTGTATTTCACCAGAAGCTACAAGCTTATCTGTCTTTATCGCATTAACGGCATGACGGTGACGTATCGCGTGACGTTTACACGCACACTCGCACACACGCAACGATGAGTAGTAGCACCACTACATGCACATAAATTATAACAAACACAAAAAAAAAAAAAAAATAATACAAAGGAAGAGCAGCGAAGAGAAGCAATAAATTTGTTTACAAACCAAATGAAATTGTGAATGAATTTTAAAATTTGCTTAGTCAGTGGTGTTGAGTGTGTATGAGCATGCATTGAGGACCTAAGTTGTTATTCTTCAGGGAATCAAACGGCCAGTTAGTTGTTAGTCAACCGCAGACCAAGCAAGCTTAAGAAAATGAAGTTGCTACACTTGTGCCGACGATACGAGCAATATGTAAATAAACAAGTGGAAATAAACAAATAACTTTCGCATAAACTGGCAACATATTTATAAAAATAATTATCTTTCTTTTGCGCAGCAATCGGCCATACAGGAGTTAATCTTGAAACAGCAATTGGATGCTAAGCCGGTGAGTTTAAGAAAATATTTTTAACAAAAAGTACTAATTTTATAATAATAATATTTGATGTTTAATAAACACACAGAATTTGGACATATTACCCACATTCGAGGAGCACGACATTGGCGGCTACAAATTCAACGTGCAAATTGCTAGTAACACTCAAGCCAAGAAGAGTTGGATGTACTCGCCCAATCGCAAGAAGCTCTACATACGTATGAATGAGATAATTTCGTTGGAGGCTGTGTATGTGCCCAAGCTGCCGCTGCAACAGCTTCGCGTGCGTGTGCTCATGAGCTTTAAGAATGAAGTGAGTGAGCCAGTGGTGCGCTGTCAAAATCATCTCAGCAAGGATACCGGTATGTTACAACTGTCAATTAAAGGAATGTCTAATGGAGTTTTTGCTTAACTTTATACTTTCCACCATTTTTCAGAGTCACAACAGAAGCGCCGTCACAGCTTGCTGCGCTGTGAAAATCCTACTGCTGAGTATTGCGGCACAGCCGATGGCAAAAGCATTAATGATCGTTTTTCGATATTAATACCGCTGGGTCTCAGCGCCATGCCAAAGAATGACAGTTCCATTTCGCAAACGATCGCCATCAAGTTCACTTGTCAGAATTCCTGCATTGGACGCCGAGAGACAAGCATACTATTTCTACTAGAGGGCATGAGGTAAGTAGGTGCACGGTGAGCTCTGTGGTGACAGAGCGAGTTGATTAAAAATTATAGAAAAAAAAAATATATATATACCTTTGCACTTATGAAGTAGATTTGCGAACATGTTACTGCATGCAACCATATACATATATGTGTGTATATGTATGTATACATGTGTATGTGTGTTGTGAAAGTCCTATAATATAAGGTGTACTGATTCATTCTCTATTTACGTTTAGTGGTGAAATACTCTCACAACGTGTGCTGGATGTCAAGATTTGTAGCTGCCCCAAGCGAGACTTCGAAACCGATGAGCGCAACAGCACAGTTCCATCCAAGCGTAAATCGAGCGGAGGTTTGTTAATTGCAATTGCATTATTAATATATAATATAAATAGGAAAAAAATGTGAGTTCGGTTGAACCGATAATACCCGTTATAAAAAAGAAAAGTTTCAATACAAGAAATTGACTGATAAACAGTTTGTGTGGCAGTTGTATTCTATAGTGGTTCGATCTGAACAATATACAAACTTTGTGGCCACAAATAAATAATGTCTATGTTGTTGTTGCAGAAATGCCAAGTCGCACGACGAAATTGATGAAAAGCGCCAATGACAGCAGCAAACATCCAAAAGCCTTAAAAGATGAGGACACCAGCAGTGATTCGGAGAACAGTGATAGCGGCATTAGTATTGCTCGCGATGTAGACATACAACCAACGCCATGCGGTGGCTATCGCCTCATCATTGAATTCGATAAGGAAATGATGCAGAAAGCTATCGAAAACATGATTCAAGTGGTTGCGGTGAAGATCTGCACTGAACCACAACAGGCTAAGCGTTACAATAAAATGTTTCGACGGCTAAGTCGATACAGAGGTTAGTCGAAACTTAGCTACTTTTAAAGTGTTTATTTTTGACCATAGTTCTTTTCTTTTTTACAGAAAAATTGTAGAGAAAATAATTGTGACCTTAATTTGTTGCGTAAAAATGCCTTTACTATGTAAATAGTTAGTCATAAGTTAAGTGAGGTTTTGTTTACTACGTCTAGAATTGTACTTAGTTTGTGAGGTTTCGTTGTAAGATTTTGTTTTAAACTTTGTTGTAAGATCTTTTTTTGTAAGGTTATGTTGCCTCCATGTTTTTTTTCATGTAACCAGCTAGTAGCGTGTATGCATTTATTTTTCTGTGAAATATTTGGCACTACGCGTCTACACATTACTCTTTCTTGTTTTTGTTTTTTAATTGTATGTAATTTTGGTCTTTCGGAAATATTTCAAATCCAGCTTTGAAATGTTCTGCCTAAGCGCTTTAATATGTATAAGTTTTAAGTGATACTTTTTTTTTTTTGTTTTTAGAGTACATATACACTTCATGTATATATGTATATATATATATAGTACATATAATATATAAATATATATAAGTACATAATTTCTATTTTTTTTGTAATTATTGAGTATTTCTCATACTCATAATTCAAGCATTTTAATGCAAATTAAACTTCAACTGTGAAGGATCAATATTTTTTAACAATAATAAACAAAAATATATGAGTTGCCACTCGTCCCAAAATCACTTTTGATTGAAATATTTGTTGATTTATAGTTTTAGTCAAATGTAATTTCAATACTATGACTATGAATGAGACAAAAGTAGAAAATATAACCAATAATATAAGGATTTTTTTTTCAAATAAAGCCCATTGCCGCTAAAAATATGTTAAGTAATAAGGATAACCAGTGTAGCCCAGTTTAGTTTCCCACTCAAAACATATTTATGGCTCATATACATATGTATATCGTCACCTAAAATGCAAAGCAATCATGAAAAAAATAGGAATTGACTTCTTTATTGCTTGCCATTCGCAAAATCATATAACATGTACGTAGGATATAATTTTCAGCTTCCGCTGTCAGACGTAATCAATATTTAACCATTTTATAAGCAAAATTCAAATTTGGTTGCAATGTAGTGGTTTCTATAATTTTTCTTCGTGTAAACTTATATAAATTGATATTACGTTATTTTCCATTTTAGGTAGCATATCGTCAAAGCTTGTAAATAACAACTGTACAGCATAATAACTACTTTATTACTAGAGTCAGGTTTGCTTAAGGGGCTATATCCACTTGCGAGTTGAAAAAAATCGTTTTTTCTCTTTTTGTTTTTAAAGAGGCGTTTTATTTAAAAAATCAATAAAAATATTACACATTTACTGAATTTAAATTTACTTAAATAATTGGCAATACATTTTTAAATATTTCGGTTTCTATTAGTTCCGCTCCCGCAGTATTTCTGAAAAAAGGTGTCTGGTGGTGGGAAATATTTTTCTGCTTAAAATTAACTGAAATCCAAAAACCAAAAAATTATATTATTACCGCAAATCAAAGCACTTTTGATGATTTTTAATAAAACAGCGGCTTGCCAAAAAAAAAAAAGTTTTTTTTGCGAAAAAAATTTTGCACTTCAAATTTTTCTCAAGGACTCTGGCAACATCGTTAGGCGAAAAATGTGTTGAAAGTTTCGTCAGCCGATTACACTAAGGCAAAAAGTGTTTCCACGACGGTGGAACTAAGTAACCGGAACGGTTTCGTATTTTTGTCCGGCCAAGGACTGTCAACTCGGCAAATGCGCTCTTATCTCCGAAATATTTGCGGAATCAAGTTCAAATTTTCGAAGAATATTTTTAAATATGCAAATAAAAAAATATGCTGTTTTAAATAGCAAGTGAATATAATCCCATGAAGAAAAATACTTCAAATTACTGCTTTAATTACTTGTGTCATTAAAAGCGGTGCTTTTTTCTTGCCAGTTTTTTCCTTAAGTAGCAAGTTATTGAACTTGTAAATATATATTATGTATGGCTATGTGCCATGGCAATTATCGTTTTAGCATTTAAGTCATAACTTTATGAATTTTATGTGCCTTTTATGTCATTTATTAAATCTTTAAAAAGTAAAGAACTTAAATAAACAATGATTTGTGTTAATCAATATAAAACCATTTTCAGATAGACCTAAAACTTACCGATCCCAAGAGTTAGATCGCCGGATTAATTCCGGTAACGTACAACCGACTGCCGTGGGAATTGAGTCAAACCACCAACCATTGCAGACGAAGAGCTCGATTTCTATAGCAACTTAAACTGCTACTAATCCAGAATCAATCCAGACATATGAAATATATGCCAGCGCCTAATGAGTTTCCGCATGAATCTAACCCTCTCTTTGCATGCGCAGCGAACCCCATTCATCTAACATCCCTCTCCCTATAGCCCGACTGCGTTGTAACAGCATGTTTCGTGGTCTTACCATTAGATTACTTCGATGACATTAACACGAACTTTACCACACAAGCGGGGAATAGATGACCGCTATGACCGTAACAACACTTTTCCGACATTTCAGCCTAAAATTAGAGAGCTGAATAATTTGCTGAAATCCAACTTTTTTTAGGTTTATATCTTTTTAAATTGCTTAGATCCGTAGACCAGATAGCCTTGGGCATAGCCAATCAGCTCTTAAAATACGTTAGGCTTGGAAACTGGTACCTGTGATGGAGATTCTGACGTTTCCGCTTGGGTTCACGACGCCTCCCAAATAACAGCAGAGCGTTTTCGCCCATTTTACCGAATGAACGACTTCCGAACAGCATTGTAATTGACGTCCATCAAACTTTCAACTTCACCGGATTTGCTAATTGGACCACTTAAAATGCCTATAACCGGAGCAAAGTGAGACCTACAGAGTGCAAATAGCTTGACAGTTCTCTTGCATTCTACTCTGCACCAGCAGATTCTCGCACCCGTGAGGGTGCTGGTGCCGGCATTGCTAGATTACAAGAGGTCTAGAGTACTAGAATGAAACATTCTTGCTGCTGAGTACATAAACACCGCTTATTGAATATTGGACAAAGAAAACTTGAATGTTTGCGAGTAAATCAGAATGCTAGAAACTAGACCACAAACTATTTTGCTGAAGTAAAATTAAGCCTTATCAGTTTTCGAGTTTGGCTCAAGCCGGATTTCAATCCGGTCAAAGGCTTTGTACTCCACAAAATTCTCTAAAATTTTATGAGGAATGTTTCTTGCTATACGATTTTTAGTTTCTCTTTAATGTATGATGGATGAGTCCCCTAGTATTTTCATTTCAAATATATAAATAAAGTAGTATGTGTTATCTCCGAGGTTTTTTTTACTCTATGGTAGATAATTCTTATCGACTGGTAACTTGTTTCTTTTAAGCGGTCAGAAAGTCGATAGATAAATACATTTCCCAAGATCTCGCGACTAATATCATAAAGCTGACCGTAATTAAAACGGATATATGAAATATTAATAGAGAAGAGTTCTCTGTTTTCCAAAAAATTTAAAATTATAGTTTTGTAAACAATGACATTACTTGATATGAATATGAGCACAATCTGTCACAGTCAGTTTGTTTATAGCAGCTCCTTAAGGCGTTGCAATTCGTACAAAGAATTTGTCTCAAATTTTGTTTTCCTAACCGAGTTTCGTGTGCGAAATGGTTGCGAATGTTGGAAAAGTCTTATGGTGATTCAATTTTATCAAAAACACAAGCACAAAGACGTCAAGAGACCGTTGAAGACATGCCTCATTCTGGACCGCCATCGATCTCTTAAACTGATGAAAATACTAAAAAGATGAACGATATGTTACTTGAAAATCGTCAGGCAAGTGTTAGCGAGACGGCAAGAGAGCTCGACGTCGCTCGCGAGTCCCTTCGAATGATTTTGTTGGATATTCTGGGTATGAAGTGTGTTCTTCTGCGACTCAATCCGAAAAAGCTGAAATTTTTCAAAAAAAGGACTGTAAAAGGTGTCTTTGGACATGCTTATCGTGAGAGTTCCGACCTCACATTAATGGAGAGCATGAGTTTGACATGCAAACAAGTGAGTAATCATCGGAATGGAGGAGAAAAAACGAATCGCAACCACAAAATATCACGCCAAAGCCGTTCAAATCAAGGTGGTGTTCATGCTTTTTGAATATTCGTGGTTTGGTGCATCATGAATTTTTTCCTTAAGGAGAGACGGTAAATAAGAAGTTCTATTTACCCCTATTGGGGTGTTTGCGTGGGACGCAATCCGTCGAAAACGGTCGGAATTGCGGAAGGTTCTTCCACATGTATTTTAGACGATGATAATGCATCATCGCATCGAGCTACGATTATGACTGAGTTTAAAGCAATCAAGTAAGGAAGGGAAGCTAAGTTCGGGTGTCACCGAAAATTTTATACTCTCGCAYCAAATACCGTGTTTGTGTAAAGTTTTATTCCGCTATCATCATTGGCTCCTAATGTATATATTATACAGAGAAGGCATCAGATGGAATTCAAAATAGCGTTATATTGGAAGAAGGCGTGGTTGTGAACCGATTTTATAACATTTTATACTCTCGCATGATAAAGTGATAATCGAGATTTCAGGCGTGGTTGTGAACCGATTTCACCCATATTTCGTACATATCATCAGGGTGTTAAGAAAATATTATATACCGAATTTCATTGAAATCGGTCGAGTACTTCCTGAGATATGGTTTTTGGTTCATAAGAGGGCGACGCCACGCCCATTTTCGATTTTAAAAAAAAGCCTGGATGCAGCTTCCTTCTGACATTTCCTTCTTCCATTCTTCCGTAAAATTTAGTGTTTCTGACGTTTTTTGTTAGTCGGTTAACGCACTTTTAGTGATTTTCAACATAACCTTTGTATGGGAGGTGGGCGTGGTTATTATCCGATTTCTTCCGTTTTTGAACTGTATATGGACTGTCTCTTATACACATCTAGATGTGTATAAGAGACAGGTATATGGAAATGCCTAAAAGAAACGACTCTATACAGTTTGGTTGACATAGCTATAGTAGTTTTCGAGATATGTACAAAAAAGTTAGTAGGGGGCGGGGCCACGCCCACTTTTCCAAAAAGAATTACGACCAAATATGCCCCTCCCTAATGCGATCCTTTGTGCCAAATTTCGTTTTAATATCTTTATTTATGGCTTAGTTATGACACTTTATAGGTTTTCGGTTTCCGCCATTTTGTGGGCGTGGCAGTGGGTCGATTTTGCCCATCTTCGAACTTCACCTTCTTATGGAGCCAAGAAATACGTGTACCAAGTTTCATCATGATATCTCAATTTTTACTCAAGTTACAGCTTGCACGGACGGACGGACAGACGGACAGACGGACGGACGGACAGACAGACATCCGGATTTCAACTCTACTCGTCACTTTGATCACTTTGGTATATATAACCCTATATCTAACTCTTTTAGTTTTAGGACTTACAAACAACCGTTAAGTGAACAAAACTATAATACTCTCTTTAGCAACTTT